CAGCAACCAAAACCTGCAATCCCAGGTATCCCACCACTCTCCACTGACACCTGTAGATGCTACAGCTGTGGAAAACCCAGACATCTCAGGACTCCGTGCCCTGAGCAGAAGATAACCACCTGGCAAGGCGGCCAGCAACTTCGTCTATGCTGTTCATCCACAGGAATACTAAGGTAACCACCACAAACTTACAACCAGACAAACTGGTTTCTGTGACACAGGGGCAGATATCATATTGGTCAGACCAGAGGCGTTAGAAAGGACATCATCCCAGGAAAGCTCTTTACCCTTACGGGGGTTGGGGGGGGCCCGTTCACATGTACCCCATTCTAACATGTTAATCGACTTGGGTGCAGAAAGTGGGATGAGAGGTGAGTCTTGAATGAAATCCCCACACCTGCTCTGTTGGGTGCTGATTTAGGCACTCTTCTATTATGACCCTGCTAAGAACACCACCCTGGATGCCCACACAGAACTCTGGACATACCAAGGTACTGTGTGCAGATGTTAGGTCAGTATCTGGGCAACCTGTGGACGGACAGAGAGGAGAGTGAGGAGAGTGTTGAGGTACAGAGTTCACGTCTCCTAGGCAAGGAGAGGCGACCCCTTTGGATTTGCAGGTATCAAACACATGGGTAGTTGATGTTAATGTAATGGATTGTTTCATTGTTGCAGAGTCACCCACAGTGCTGTGAAGTGGGCAGAAGTACAGTCTCTGGGTGCTGCACAAAAGGGATGGTCTGGATAGGCACTTTCCTTGCTCCAGCCCACAGGATTCTGCCTTGTTAACCCCCCCAGCAGTTGTCTTGTATGTTACTAGACATCTGCACAGTACTTATAGTCCCATGGCTAAGACAGCACTGGGGAGTGACCAAAGTGTTAAAGCCATCAGCAGGCTAGCTGTTAGCTTCCCTGCTGAGAAAGGTAAACAGCTTGATTGGGATAGTAAGAAGCTAGGAATGAATAGTATACAGGCAGGGGGCTTGGGGACTGAAAGTTTGCCAGCTGCTCACTATGTCCAGTCAGCCTAGGGGACATGGGTAGAAAGTGTCATCTGATAAGGCCTGTAAAGGACCATGGGAAGAACTTAAAGCCAGGGAGGAAGTCACACAGATTTATGGCTTAGATTTAACCCCAAATGCCCCAACACTATGCATGTCATGGGCAGTGGCAGTACACTTGGATTGTAAGCACAGGGAGGCCTTATTGGAGTTGGTAGCCAGCCCTCAGGGAGTGAGCTTAGGTCTTCAGCTCCAATCACCTTCCTTTCCATCCAGGTAAAGCAGCTGCTAGCAGTGCTTATGGTAAATGGTGTCTGGGCTCAGGGAAACCCTGGGAGGGCACACCATTCTGTTCATGAGGCAGATGGTAGTGTATATCCTTCCCTCATGTCTTGTCTCACAGGAGGTGCAGACAGAGCAGGCCAAAGAGAGGGAATGCTGCAGTCAGGGTTAAGAAGTCCCACAGGGTCTGGGCATCTCCAGTTGTCCCAGTCCTCAGAAGGGAGCAGATGACCTAGCTTTGTGAAGACCTTGGAAAACTGAACTGCAGCCCTGCGGTTGTGGCCTACCCCATGCCCAGGAACCATGAGGTAATGGAGCAAATGGGAGGTACCAGCTGTCTAACCATCATGGACCTGAGCAGAGTATAGGGGCCAACCTTTCTAACTCGTGAGCTCAGGACAAGTCCGCCTTCACCACCCCATGTGGCTTGGCTGAATTTAAGGCAAGGCTAGTTGGAGTTGAGAACACAGCAGCCACCTCTCCGGGGGGGTCATGAATGACCTATGGTGTGGAGTGGAACCATGTGCAGTTTTCTACTTTAGGGGCCTTGCAGTGTTCAGCCCTGTTTGGGGAGAACTTTGACTCCTGTCACCAGTCATGAACAAACTGCCAATGCCTAGGCTGACAGTCAAAACACTGTCAGAGGGGCATGTCAGGTTCAGCACTAGGAACCATCACAGGTAGGAGACGACCCTCAGAGGTCTGGAACTGGGGAGGCTAAGGTGATAATGGCCTGGCCTACTCCCCCGGACAAAAAGCAGGTTATGTCATTCTTTGGTACAGCTGGCTACAGTAGGACGCCTGAGTGCAACTATCATGGCTCAGCTGAACCTGTGACTGACCAAACAAACTGGAAACAAATGAAAACTGCGTATTTGATGCCAGCATGTAAGGATGACTGTTCAACCTGGACAAAGGTACCAGTCAGTACACCTGTGACACAAGCCCTGGAATTCACCTGTCTAGTTCCAGCAACACAACCTGGGCCTGAGGAAGGAGACTGGAGAGGGACATCTCATTCACTACCTAGACAGGAAGATACCGCTCAGTACATTATTATATGCCACTCCTGAACAGAAGTGTCTTGTGATCGGGTGGGCACCACAGACGCTGCAACGATATCCAGGTGGTTACAGCAGACTGGTACTCACCCCTCACAACCCATTTTGTTGGCACAACAGTGTTGCAAGGGAGAATAGCACCCTCCTCAAAAGGAAACTTGTTCTCCAGAGATGCAGTTATACCACACCATGCAGAGGTGAACGCAAAGGGAAAACAGACTTATGTCCTGACAAGCCAACAGCAGGAGTCAGTTGCGTCAGGAGGGAAATTGCAGTTTCTCCCATGCAACCACCTGAGGGGGAGGTGTAGCGACTGCACAATAGGGACATAAGATGGCTGTAGCATACAGCTTCTAAGGTCTCAGCCATTTTGTTTTCATGAGCAGTGATCTCCTTCCCTCTTGCAAACTATGGAATTTGTAGCTTTTAACAAACTTCAAAAGAGTCTCATCTCAACTAAAACCGATGCCAGAGTCCAGGTCTGAGTGCCAGCTGTGAACAGCTAATTAGTTTTAGCAGGATGTCTGGTTTCAATGAACTATGAAATACTTCCCTCTGCCCTATCATAAAACCATAATAACGCATTCAAGTCTGTCACACATGATGTGTAAGGCCATTAAAGCTCTAGGAATGCAAAGCGTGCCATAAAAAAAAAAAGTATTTTACAACTAAAATGGTTATAAAAGCTGAAGTTTTTTTACCTTCATGCATTCTATGCATGAAGGCATAAAAAAAAAACCTGTGTACAGCAGCTCCCCTAATACTTACCTGAGCCTTATGACCCAGCAATGTGAATGACTGTCCCAGGTAAGCAGGAACTATTGGCTGTGCTCAATCCCAGTCAGCCAGCCAAATGAGGAGAAGGGGCAGGGCCAAGCCGCAGCTCTGTGCGTGAAAAGACACGGAGCAGCGTGTGCCCCCATAGCAAGCTGCTTGCTGTAGGGGCACCCGACAGGAGAGCCTGCAGGGGACCCGAGAAGGGGATCCAAGCTGCTCTGTGCAAAACCACTGCACACAATAGGCAGCATGTTATTTTACAAAAAAAAAAACAAAAAAAAACAAACAAACAAAAACCTTTAGAAAACCGCTTTAACAATTCCACATACAATTCATAGAATTCAACAGGAACAGGACACATTAATATTTGGTACATATTTGAATGGGGAATATCATACCGAACAAAATCAAGGTCATACATGACTTATACGAAAGGGGAGAACGCAGTCTCCTCCCTCCTGGGTGATAAAGGTATGCTGTGTTTGGTATCCCTGGATACAAAATATAATTCTGAATATTCTGCCAGTTTCTAGAATACCACCTGCAAGTATTGGAAGTTATTAATATTCGTGTAAAACTGTATTTTGCAATTAGTCGTAAATGTGGTGGCCTCCCAGCATTCATCCCTTAAACCGGATTATTCAGATGGTCTCTGGCGACACCCCTTTGATATTACAGAAAAGGGGATGACAGGACCTGGTAAGCAAGCTCTCGTTTTACCATCAACCAAAGAACACCCAAGAGAGCCACAGCAACGTTTTTCTTGCTTGGACAATTGGACTCTGCTAAAACCAGGACTTTGCAAGTATTCTCCATATTTACCTACTTATATTTTACTCTTGCGGTTACGAAAAAATTTGTTAACCGAGGCATTCTGGTCAATAGATTTTCATTTGTAAAGTGAAAATTACATTAACCGAGGTGCTCGTAAACCAAGGTACACCTGTACTTTAATTGTTTAGCAGCCAATGTATGAGTCTAATTGGATGCTGTGTTCCTCTAAAAATTCCACAAGCACAGGGCTGCTTACTCACCTTTATAAAATTGGGAGACACCCAATGCAAGTGGCAAATAGGGGCACTGGCCTACCACCAACAGCAGGAAAGAAAACCCACTGTACCACCACTATCAAGCTCTACGTTTCATTGTCAAAGCTTAATGGACCAAGTTGAAGTTAGAAGCTTGTTAGTTACTATTCACAGATGCTCCAATTTTAGTAAATCCCCTCCCTTGTGTTACAAAAAGGATAAAAAATTTAGACAAGAACCTGCATGGGGGATCGGGGCAACTTACATCAGCCTTCTGCAGAGCTTGTTACAGTATCTAAATTCAAAATTACTTGGGTCAGCAGATAGTGCTGCCATAGCACCTGGTCTTTTCCAGCTGGGATTTGGCAAGAGCTCCCCCACATCCCACCAAATGAAATACTGTTACTAGTTTAACACTGGTGGATAAAGCAAGATTTGATTGTAATGCTAGGTTGTGTGCCACAAACTTTGTGGCATTTTATACTTCATGTTGGATATTCAGGCAATCTGGAAATCTAGAGAAAAATATCTGACCTCAGTAAAAGTAGAAAACGTTTTATTGCCAGCCTCCCAGAGGTTACAGGTCAAAGGAAGGAGAAGCAAATGGTCTGCACTATAGAAAAAAAACCTAGAGAGCACACAGACAATTCGTACTGTACAGGTAAAGTGGTCAAGTCTTCAGAACAGAAATGAAAAAAGGCCAAGTGTTTTCTGTGCACTTTTCAGCATAGGAAAAATCTTTTTGTTGGCATTGGTGCTTTTTTAAGCAGCTGTCCTTCAGATAAAATAAATAAAACGTCCAGTGGTGACCAGTAGGTGACAAAGGTCACATCATGCAAAGATGATGAAATTCACCATTCGAGTTCCACTGGATATTCTCCTGTGAGACAAGCTGTACAGTGGCCACGTGAAGATGGATGAGACGTTGTGCCATTCAATCCGCTTTGTTGGTCTTTAAAGGATTTAATGCCCTCACGTACTGCAGAGGTTAATCCTTCCACAGACAAGTAAACCACACTGTTAGCACCTGGAAGGAAGAGAACAAAGTCAGCTTTCATTGTAAAATCTTAGAATAAATATATGACCGGCACATTTGCTGTTAATACTTTCACAATTGCTCCCTCTAGTGGCTACCTGGACATTCAATGCAATCAGGATCCTTGCTGAACTGCAAAGATCCCTTTACAGAGATGGGACAGTACAGTGGCTAAATGGTTAGCACTTCCGCCTGGCAGTACTAGGGTCGTTGGTTCGAATCCCAGCCACGTCACCACCTGCCTGGAGTTTGCATGTTCTCCCTGTGCCTGCGTGGGTTTCCTCTGGGTACTCCGGTTTCCTCCCACACTCCAAATGCTGGTAGGTTAATTGGAGCCTGTCTAAATTGGCCCTAGTATGTGTATGTATGAATGTAAGTTAGGGACCTTAGATTGTACACCCCTTGAGGGTTAGGGACTGATGTGAATGTACAATATATGTGTAAAGCGCTGCGTAAATTGACAGCGCTATACAAGTACCTGAAATAATATACTTTTATAATTGTGAACCAAAATACCCTGCTTCATGTACCTATAGAATTACAACACATACATACAAGTTTTAAAAAAGGGGCAATTAAACATAATACGTAAAATCTGAATTTCTGGTATTCTACCATCACATGCAAGTCTGTCTTTTAGGATCTCCATGAATATAAACCCAAACTATACATTTATAATAAGCAGATAACTAGGTCCATTTGCAAGAGACTGATACCCAATTCATGGCCTTGTAAGATGGAGGATACAGACCACAGTAAGAAAACTTACCACTGGAACCTTGAAACAAAAAATATTAAAGTGGCAGTGGCTCCATTCCCCCGGTGCCCATCCACAATAAAACAAATGATCACATTTACCCTTGCTGTTGGCTACAAACCCACTACAATGGCGTGGTTTTAAAAAGATGTTTCTTTGATAAAAACCTGCTAAATTAAAAGCACCAAGCCCTGTCAGCACAAGATTCTCTGACAAACCTCTAAAACTGCAAAATTTCAACACACTTTATGAAAGAGGCATTACTCAAATCAAGCACTACATTGTTAAATGCTTGTTGTGCCATCTAATCCATATAGATTTCATGTGCATACCTGTAATGATCATAATATATGCCTAGTATATATGCAGTAGATAAATGCTGTGTGATCATTCGTTACAGAACAAGCCACACAGAGTGCGCTGTATAGCAAATGAATTCCAAAACTGTAGAACTGAGTTACCAATGATGGAGGAGTTTGGTCAACCAACACACAAGATTATCCAGCCAACAAAAAGTTCAAGGTTTGCTTACCAAGGTAGCCAGCCAAGTCATTGAATTCTGGGCGATTTGCAATCAGCTCTTCTTTTGTAGGAATGTTAATGCCCATGTAGCAGGGATATCTGATTGGTGGGGAAGCCACACGAATATGCACCTGGACAGATTCAAATATAAAAGAGAGAGACATTTAGGGTCAATTGTGTTAAAGGAGGAAAGAGGGGAGGGGAAAAAAAAAAAAAAAAACTGTCAGCAACTTCTGGTAAAAAAAAAAATTGAGCCAACTGCAATGTACTTTTAGTCCCCGGTCACGTGTGTGAATTGTCATGCGATTTGATAGTTTCAAAATCACACCCTATTGTCAGCAGTGGAAGCTGTCAAATCATGCAACGTTCTCACTCTTCATGAAATGTTCCTTCAAATTTTCTCCCACACTCACCTCACTTGCTCCAGAATCCTTCAGCAGCTTAATGATAGGAGAGATGGTGTTCCCTCTCACAATGGAATCATCTATCAGCACTACTCTTTTCCCAACAAAGTTATCTGACAGGACTCCAAACTTTTTTGCAACCCCAAGCTGTCGTAATCTCATGTTTGGCTGAATGAAGGTACGGCCAATATAGCGATTTTTGCAAAGTACTTCAACATACTGAATGCCACACTGGAAAATTAGAAAATAAATTTAGCACATATATTCTGATTAAGATAGGGGAAAGAAAATGTAAAGACCATGAATGATTACCTTCTCAGCATAGCCCAAAGCTGCAGGAGTTGCGGACTCTGGTACAGTGCTGACTAGGTCTGCTTCAACTGGAGCTTCTATAGCCAACTGCTGACCACACCGCCTTCTTACTGAATATACCATCTGTCCTGTAAAGGAACATAGAAAGTCAGATTTTGTGGAGATGGAAGATGTATGGTGGGTACATTATCTGCTCATTGAATTATGTGTAAAGTATTCCTCCTAACATCAGAATGGGGGGATGCAGAAGCTTCTAGGGCCACAAAGTACTTCATCAGGACAACACCCAGGTAAAGGTATGCATTTCTATATCGGTGGGTGTCATTTCAGTACTGTTTGTTGTCACAGTCTTTGTCCGTCTATTCAGTTTCTTATTTTAGATTATTCACATCTCAGAGTTCTCTGACCTTTATATTAGTTTTAATGACACTTTTGGATAAATGTAGGAATTGTTTAGTTTGTAATAAACAGATATAAACATGAGTTTCAGCACTTTTAAAAGTAAACAGCAGGTCAAATTTCACAAATCCTACACTTCCCAAAAAAGTGTTCGTAATTTTGGCCACAGTATAAATTCAAAATCTGAATGGTTTTCTGTAGGTCCCAACAGCCAAATATATTTATGCAGCGTACAGTATCCTGTCCAATCATTATGTTGTTTGATACATATCCATTTACTACCAACCCACTTGTTTTGAAGGAAAAATATTAAACATCTACCTGGATTTGTGATCTGCTGGGATCATAAGGTTAAGCAAATGATGCTTATTGTCAAATCCTAAAGTGTGCTACCAATCTTAAATCACAAGTTTTCCCTCTGTTACTTTGTATTGAACAGTGGGTACCTAGACCACCATTGAACAATGTTCCTCAAGTAACCAATTCTGCCAAGCAAAAAGTTAGTGTTACTAAACCCACAACAGTAAAATCAGTCTGTATATGCAGGAAAGCATTCTTGTTAAACTCACTGTGGAACCTAAGGGGCTAATTTTCCACATTGTGAAAAAGGAGGTTTGATCCTCTTCTCTGATCCTACCCCTCTTGCATGGTCCCCTAAATATCTCCCAATAGAACAGAGGTTTGGAGTCACTCTGGACATGCTCAGTTTGGTGCTAGAGGTTTTTTTTTTTATTCTTCTGGGGAGGATGCATGTGATCAGCACAGGGCCAATTAGCATTGTCCAGAAAGGTCAGGGGTTCTACATCCTCCTATAGGGGAATGAAAACTCATACAAGCTTTAACCAGTGCTGTGTACTGTGGGAGACCAGAAATAGTGAATGCAGGGTCCTGGGTTTAGTAACACTTTAAATCTGGAATTATCAGCCGTATTTGGACACCTGCACTTGATGGATCACACTCCTCAAAAGGATATCTACTGTATGCCCCAATTTGAAGAGTTTAACCACCTCCCATCTGACCAATGTACATAAACGGCCAGCTGGAAGCTTTCCCTTTCTGAGTGGATGTTCCAGTACGTCCCTCAGAACACTCCTGTACACTCCTCAGAACACAGCACATTACAGATCGGGATATGGGCTCTCCGATTGTCCAATCACAGCCATCTCCGAATGTCAGACACGTCTCTGTAACCCTTTCCCTCTGAGAGCTCGGGGGGGGGGGGGGGGGGGAATGCTGCAAACTGACAGCTGATGATTTTATTGATCAGTTACACAGATCTGCAGCCATCCCACACTTGTCCCTGTCCACATGTCAACATATATCGCAGTGTCCCACAAACATGTGTTAACATTTATCACAGTGTACAAAAAAACCATCTGTCACAGTGTACAGTGCACAAAAAAAAAAAAAATGTAAAGCACCCCGTCCCCCATGCTCACGTGCAAAGCCGAACGCACACATTGGTCTCATATGCAAACAGCGATTGCACCACACATGTGAGATCGCCACAAATGTCAGAGTAAGAGCAATAATTCTAGCACCAGATCTCATCGAATGCTAAACTGGTAACCTGTAAAAGGCTTATAAAGCGTCTATGGGGATTTTTAAATACCATAGTTTGGCACCATTCCATAAGAGTGCGCAATTTTAAAGCGTGACATGTTTGGTATCCATTTACTTGGTGCAACACCATATTTCATATATTTTACCAAAATGTGGGTATTATATTGTGCTTGTGTGCATTAAAATTCTTTAAAGCTTATAAAAAAAAAAAAAAATTGCGTTCGAAAAACCGATGCAAATACCATGTGACAAAAAAAATTAGCAAAACCCACCATTTTATTCTATAGGGCCTCTGTTAAAAAATATATACACCCTATTCCAAATTATTATGCAAATTAGATTTTTCTCATTGACCTAAATAATTGATGTAAATAATAGCCAGCATAATTCTCATGTTATCAACTATTAAGAGTAAAATTCAAATTTTATTGAACAAACCTAATAACAGTATTTTTTTAAACATAAAAAACTTACAATGCACGGTTCCAAATTATTACACACAGTAAGTTTCAAAACACTTTATATGTTGTAAAGGAAGGGGATGAAAATGCCCGGTATTAAGGTGGTTAAAAGTTTGTTGAAAATAAATAAACCATATGCACACACCAACACAATAAAAACATTTTTCCCCAACAAATGACTCAACACCATTCATTACAATACAATATTAACAGTTTACCCAGTACCACAGGAAAGGAAACCATTAACCATGGCCTACCTTCAAAAATGGAGTCTGGTCGTGCAAAGTAAACATATTCAAATATACAGAATGCAGAAGGGTCCTTCTCTTTATGTCTGGGAACAATATCCAGTGTTTGGATCCCAGTCTGAGTAATTTTCACAATTTCTCCAGGCAATACTTCTCTGTAATATCTAGGAATGTGCAGATAGATTTCTAGTCAACTAGATTGACATGGCACATGTTGCAAGCTGTGCAAGAAAGAACATTCAGTACAGATATTTTAGGTGCCAGTTCAGATGTGTATAACCTGGGATTCCGCAGGGAAATTGGCTCATTCATGTGCTGCTGATCCCATTATTCCCATTGCTCTCCCCTCCAGTTAGCATTGCTTGTCAGGACATGTAGATACAGCACACCTAAATATATCAGAACACCAACCCCTAGTACAGTTTCTGTACAGGGTGTCACAACAAGCTGATAAAAATGCAAGTTATGTACTTCTGCATTTTAAAAAAAACACAAAAACAAAAAACCCCACTTTTTTAAATGAATGCATACATACATTCATTGGTAATTTGCTTTTATTTGGATTTAATCTTGAAGTGATATTAACCACTTCCCATGCGGCCCATGTACAGAAATGGCCGGAAGGGAGCAATGCAGGAGCGGGTGGCCGTTTATAAACGTCCTCCCGCATTCTTTGCCTGTGCGCGCTCCCTGGGAACCCCCCAGTGATCACTTGCTGACATCATTGCTTACTACTTGTGAAATCTGTGAATGATCACAGAGGTCACATGGTACAAGGCTATTCACACCAGCCTTGTACCATGTGACAAGCTATGACCAATCACAGCTCTCAGTATTTCTCAATGGCTGCAAGAATGCAGCCAGAGAGGAGAAATTATTGCTTTTACAACCTGTATGGGTGTAAAAGCAATCAGTGTAAAAAACCAAAAAATAATCATCCCCCACAAGTAGTACAGTGTCACTATGGTGACACTACTGCTAGGATGACAGTATGTTAAAAAAAGAGAAAGAAAAAAACAAACTAAAAAACAAAAAGCAAAACTTTTTTGTAAAAATTATTTTTGGTTATAAACCAATTAGGGTTATTTCATTTTTTTTTACTAAAGATAGCGGAATACATTTTGGCCAAGATTTATGAAGAAAGATTTGCAAAATTTTATAAAAAAATTTTCAAAAAGGTTTGGACTTTTTCATTTATACAGCAAAAAATGTAAAATCCCAGTGGTGAATAAATACCACCTAACGTTTTATCTGTATCAAAAAATGCTAATTCATATGGGTACAGTGTTGCATGACCACACAATTGTCATTCAAAGTGTGATACAATAGCTGAAAATTGGCCTGAACAGTAAGGGGTGAAAGTGTCAGGACTGGAAAGTGGTTAAAATAAAAAAAAAAAATATAAAAACCAAAAAAAGTTATACTTACCTGCTCTGTGCAGTGGTTTTGAACAGAGCAACCCCAATCCTCCTTGGGTCCCTGGACAGAGCTCCTGGCCCCTCACTCCTGCAGAGTGCCCCCAGAACAAGCAGCTTGGTATGGGAGCAACCAAGCAGGCTCTTTCCCAAGCTGGTGCTGTGCGTGTCCATTCACACAGAACCGCAGTCTGGTCCCCACCTCCTCAATGGCTGCGACGGATGGTAGAGGGAGAGTCCCCAGAGAGCAGAGGCTCTTGTGTACGTTGCTGGACTGGGATGGAGCTCAGGCAAGTACAGTATGTTTTTTAACCTTCATGCATAGAATATATGAAGGTAAAACAGAAAAAAAAAAAAAAAAAAAAAAAACACACCTTTCAGCACCAGCCTTTATTAAGGTTGTTAAGTGTGAGGAATTATCAAGGTTAGTTTAATGTAAGCGTGAGGATAAGTGTTATGACTTTCTGCACAGAGGTCTTAATGTAGCAACATTAGAAGCAATGTGAACACATCAATTTGATATCACATGTTCCCCCTGTGTACAAATTGGCAGAAGCGGTCTCCAATGTGTCTTTTGTAACATGAGGTTACAAAATCAGTCATTGGATTTCATCCATAACCACTCCAGTCCTAGTATCATGTGGGATCTTGCATAAAACAAATATCTAAATATTACCAAAACTAGCTCATTTAATTGGACAAAATGTATGAAAGTGGAATTTGTTGCAAATTAAGACCTGATCAGAAGTGTCAAACCATCCTACCAATTTACAGTTCAGGGACACCAAATTGCTATAAAAATATATTCTACAGTTTTTTTTGAAGGTTTCTGAAGCTGCCCCAGACATTTGTCACATGTTTTTCACCAGTCTTATAGTTTGGCTCATGCACTTAATTGCGTACAAATTATATACTAAAACTTACTCAGCACCAATAGACAAAAAGCTACAGGATTCAGAGGAGACCACCCAGCCCTCGGTCTCAGATGGATTTTTTGCTAAAAAAAAAAAAAAAAAAAAAACCACGTTATTAATTTAGGAAAACAATCTGCAAATGCAGTACATCAAAACTGACTGGTCACAATCAGTCACATGTATGAAGAGTCTTATTTACCCGTGCCTGTAGGATGGACATTTAACCACTTCAGCACCAAGCCATTTCTGGCATTTTTTTTATATTTTAAAATCAGTATTTTTACTAGTTATCTGATGGGTTCTCTCGTACAAGCAATCGGAGTGGCTAAGTTCACCTTTTAACAAAATAAATGCACTTTACCAGAAAAAAAAAAAAAAAGTGCATTTACCATTTGTTTTGGGAGATTAACGCATTGCACCAGCAGTCAGATCACTGGTACCATGTAGGACTCCTGCGGGCTTGTCAGTATAAAGGTGTCCTAGTACGGGCAAGCAGATACACATGGACAGGAAGAATCAATTAACTACCACAGCGCTCGTCCACAAAGGATGTCTGAACTTGTAGATTTTCCCATTCACAGAATACTGTAAATGAGTGATGTCAAACATGGTTTTTTTTTTTTAAAATTGTGACAGCTAGCGGGGAAGATCCCCCGCTAGCTGTCAAAAAAGGGGGGAGTGGGGGCCAGTTTTTTCATAAATATGTTACACCCTGAATATGGGTGTAACAGTTTACAAAAGGGGAACTTATCCTTTCATTTATTTCCCCAGCTGTATTGTAGGCATCATGCACACTGGGCATTTGCAAAGCTCCACCGAACACCCTTGCTCGTGACATCCAGTGTACATGACATCCAGTGTACGTGACATCCAGTGTACGTGTACATGACATCCAGTGTACATGACATCCAGTGTACATGACATCCAGTCCAGTGTACATGACATCCAGTGTACATCCAGTGACATCCAGTGTACATGACATCCATCCAGTGTACATGACATCCAGTGTACGTGACATCCAGTGTACGTGACATCCAGTGTACGTGACATCCAGTCCAGTGTACATGACATCCAGTGTACATGACATCCAGTGTACATGACATCCAGTGTACATGACATCCAGTGTACGTGACATCCAGTGTACATGACATCCAGTGTACATGACATCCAGTGTACATGACATCCAGTGTACATGACATCCAGTGTACATGACATCCAGTGTACGTGATCCAGTGTACATGACAGTGTACGTGACATCCAGTGTACATGACATCCAGTGTACATGACATCCAGTGTACATGACATCCAGTGTACGTGACATCCAGTGTACATGACATCCAGTGTACATGACATCCAGTGTACATGACATCCAGTGTACATGACATCCGTGTACATGACCAGTGTGACACGTGACATCCAGTGTACGTGACATCCAGTGTACGTGACATGACCAGTGTACATGACATCCAGTGTACATGACATCCAGTGTACATGACATCCAGTGTACATGACATCCAGTGTACATGAGCCTTTATAGTTGTCAAGCATCACACAACTACTCTGCTTCAGACTTCAACTCCTACATGTTTGACTTGACATTCTAATAAGACGGCTAAAGAGCAAAGTTAATAAGCCCCACCGCAGGCTCATCTCTAGGCATTTGCTGAGCTGCACGTGGCCCTTTTTTTTTCCAACCTTTGGCTATTACCAGTTTAGGACCTTAAAAGTAAGACTCCTACTCCTTCATATACTTTTCAGTAGTCTAGAAAATCTGATTGTGGTGCAGAAACCTAACAAAAGAAAGCCATCATAACTTAAATACCTAAAATGAATGACTAAATATTTACCTCTGAAGCTTGTTTTTGGAATTATGAACCCAAAAAAAACTCCTAAAACCCTATTATTGGCAATGTTCCTGCCCTATAACTAGAGAAAATGGCAAATCATCTTTTCCAGTACACTAATCCCTTTCACGTATCTATCTCACAAACAGACAAAATTCACCTATCAGATTCCCCCCCCCCCCCCCAGTCCACTTATCCCCTTCACATCTCTCCCCTCTCCCATAATCCACCTATCCTCCTCCCCACCTATCCCCTGCACAACACAGTTTACCGATCCCCATCCCATCCCAGTCCAATTCCCATTTATAGTACAGCTGTCCTGACAAACCATTCCACAAACAAGCTGAAGAGGATAAGCACACATCCGAGCTGGCTGAGCCATTCCATGGTCACAACTGCATTGGTGTCCCAGGGCCTAGAGCAGAGAGTAGCTTGCTATTGGTAAACTGAAGTTTGTTCTAGTGAAATGCTGAACAATTTGTTTAAAGCAAAAAGGAGATAAGATTAAAGTGAAATAAAACAACCCAACACCATGAAGGTCACATATCAGCAAGTAACACTGTGCCTTGGTGTCCTTTCAACTTGGCTAAAACTGTATGAAAACACGATTGTTAAAAATGGTGACATTTTAAGGGCTCCAAAAGCAAGACAGAACTAGATGGTTTGAAAAAAAGTGCACTAAAACCCAAGAATACGAATATTAGCGCTATCCTGGCCATGTGCTGGCTGCATTAAGATTGTTTTTTCATCTGGTGATCCTGCCAGTAATACACCACCTGTACTAGGGTGACAACGCTCACTCTTCATGCTGCATCAATGGAGAAGTAGTGTTGTCACCCTATTGTAGAAGGGAATTGGGATCACCTTCACCTCACCTATGTAATATGGAGGAGGTGCTCTGCAGTTCACAAGGGGTGAAATGAACAGGGCTGATAACACTATTTGAGATTTCGAAGCAGCATTGTTTGCGCACTACAGGACAGCAGGGCCGGTCATTTCATAACATGCTACACCCTGTATATGGGTGTTATGAAAGGTGAACTACTTATTTAACTTTTCCAGCTATCTGAGCTATAGCAGATCTTCTATTGTATTGGACTACACAGGCCAGCCTTTGTTACCCATGTGCACCAATGACCCTTGGTCGCCTATAACCCTGTTGCCCAATTGTACCCTTTGCAATTTGGCCCTTGTTAAAGTCACTAGCATCCTTACGCTTACCCTTTCTTCTGCTTTCAACACAACTTCAGGGAAAACATGTTCACTTGCTGCCCAATATATCCTATCCACTTTAAGATGCCATTGTAACGAGATAATCAATGTTTTTCACTTTATCTTTTGGGTGGCCTAGAAAACTGTTGACGTCATGTCCAGGTGACAAACCACATGAGCAATGAAGAAAAATCTCCAAGAGCTATTACATCAGATAGTGTGTTGCAGATTTCCTTTTTTGTCTCGTAAAACCAACCTCCCTGGAATAGAAAGTGAAGGGAATACTCTAATGGGGCTCTGGAGAGCCATAAAATCCTTCCACATTCTATCTACATCTTAAGATGTTTTTGGCTTGACATACAAAAGTAAGGCCTATAAAGGCTAACAAGTTCAATTTAAACTGGGCATGATATAAGCTGTGGTATTGTGGGGTTGAAGATGCTTGCAAATAAATTACCTTTTTCTTCATAGTTTCACCGAGATGAGCCTCCCAATGCACAGAGGTCTGTTGCCGTAGGGGTCTCGTACAGCATAGATGACGTCATTGTGCATAACGAGCAAGGAGTAGGATGTTGGAGTCTCATTCATCAAGTTCCGGATTCTAAAATAAACAAAGACATTGAGAGTAACGCAATAACTCAAACATGCACACAGCTTTGCCCCATGTCTACATCTATGAAGAACTATTTTCCTTGGCTATGAAAAGCTGGTTCCAAGTAATTATTTTTGCGGCAGATTTAAAGGCAAACGTGTCTTTATTGTTTTGCATAAATTTAACAGACATAATATGAGATGTAAACAGAACATGTACAAGTAAACAACAAAAAAAAAAAACCCATCACAGATGAGGTTATGATCCATATGGATGTAAGAAAATGAAGCAGTAAAATTGCTAGAGGAAAGGATCAATATCTTATATTACGGAGGTATAACATAAGTATCAGCAGGGTATCCCTGGGCGGAATGTCTGAAACACTATAAGAACTCCATACAACTAAAAAAAAAAAAAAAAAAAAAAAAAAGGAAAATAGAGGGAGTTGGGAGACGGGGACATTAGAAAGCCACAGTAGGGTGGTTCCTCAACCAAATCTCACTGTAGCGACCCCGCTGCCCGCCTCTCGGCACGGAAGGTAGTGTCAAACCGGAGGATAAGCCAAAATGAAAATTGGTTGTGGGAACACGGCTTAACTAGAGTGCAACAGGGGAACACATCTTGGAGAGTCGTAGAGGAGGAGAAATGGAGCCAGATCGACCACAGCAACTTATGTTTATCATAGGTATCATTGGTAAACGCCAGCATTTCCTCAATACACATGGTATCATTAAGCACAGAGAACCACATTAAGCAACTTATGTTTATCATAGGTATCATTGGTAAACGCCAGCATTTCCTCAATACACATGGTATCATTGGAACCACATTGGAAAAGGAGGGGGGGGGGGGGGGTAAGCCATTTTCCAAAAGAGGAGTATCAATTGGCGGGCCGCAGACAGAAAGAAGCGCAACAGACTTTTCTTCTGTGCTGCCCGTGAGCCCGGTAGTATAGATTGAAGGGCAATTTCTGGCTAAGGGGCCAAGGACTCACCGTAGACCAGGTTATAAACAGCAAAAACTTGTCACCAGAAGGGTTGTATTTGATCACAATCCCACCAAATGTGGAGCTGTGTACCAACATCTCTATTACAGCACCAACAAAGATCAGGTGTAGAAGGAAAGATTGTGTAGGGAGAGGGGATCCCTGTACCATCGAGAAAGAAAGCTTAAAATTCTTTTCTTGTGAGTAGCAAGAAACAGACGATTTATGAGTAAAGTGGAACGACGTGGACCAATCTTCAGCCAAAATGTCCTTACATAGGTCACGAGCCCATGCCTTCGTGTAGGGAGGGAGTACAGCATGAAGAGCATTGTGGAGCACTTTATAGAGAGAAGCTAGGACGTGTCTCGGTGGTTCAGAGAGGGAATGCAGTCGTTCAATCTCAGAAAGTGAGCGAAGAATGTTGGAGGAAGAGTGCAAGAGCTTGCAAAAGGAGGATAGATGTAGAGTGGTTAACCAATCCCTAGACCCACCCTGAAGGAGCGGAAGACCCGATTGGGGGCAGATAAAGTCCTGAGCCACAGGCCAGGTAGCATGTGTGAAGGTTCCAATGACAGAAGAGCCAAACCCCTGAGGAAGAGCATGGTTATTAAATAGCGGTGATAAGAGAGAGGGATCGGAGGATACAAGAGTAATTATGCCTTGTTTATACCACAACTGTATAACAGCTAAAGTCAAAGGGGACAAGCCAGGAAAACGTAGATATTCCCAATCATACCCCCATGGTAATGCCCGAAGATCAACCTGAGAAAGATCTTGTTCAATCATACAAGAGGCTTTACGGAGGAGTCTGGGAAACCAATCAAGCATCCGGGCTAGTAACATGGCTCTGTAGTAACACTCAAAGTCTGGTAAACCCACTCCACCCTTGAGTTTCGGATAAGTCAGTAACCTATGTTTTAACCTGGAAAAACCCGCGGTGCCAAATTAATCTAATCAAAAGGTAGCGTAATGAAAGGAAAAACCTTCTATGGACAGTGATCGGTACAGTCTGAAAAATGTATAGAAGCTTAGGCAAAGTATCCCATCTTGAGGGTGTTGATGCGGCCGAACCAGGGCAGGGCTGAAGCGCCCCATGAAGCCAAATCCCTTCGAATATGCGCCAGGTGCGGACCACATTTGTTAGCTAGGGAGTAATTAGTGTTGCGTGCTTTGTCTCGTGCAAGGGAGGAGGAATCTAGTAGTTGGAGTAAATCTCTACGAGAGAGAGGTGCACCGCAAGCACTGGGACCAACGTACGTTTGTGCAACAATAAACGACGCATCTCCGTCATACGAGCATTTTTCAAGCGAGAGCCATGCTTAATAAAAACCCCTCTAAGAACACATTTGAGGGTCTCCCATTGGTTAAGAGGGCTGGTAGCCGAGTGTCCGAAGTGTGGTCCAGAATAAAGTCCTGGATAGTCTTCACAACCTCCGCAATACAGAGAATCTGAGTAGGGTATCGTTCAAGCGCCACGAAAAGCGACGCAAAGACGGTTGATCCTGTATCGTAAGATGGACTGGGGCGTGGTCTGACCATAAGAAATGACTGAGATGATGAAATAGGACAATCTAGAAAAGACTGGGAAACAAAGAAATAGTCTATATGACTGTATGATGCATGAGCCGCAGAGTAATAACTATAGTCTCATTCCGAAGGATGTTGGATGCGCAAACATCCACCAGGTGTAAGTCATGCAAACGCGACTTAAGTTGAGATAAGGCTGATAAGGATAGAGAAGATTTACCTGAAGTGTCCAAATCTGGAGAAAGAGCTACGTTAAAGTCCCCTCTGACGATGAAACAGGGACCCCTAAAAGCAGACAGCCTGGAGAGGACCGACGCCAGAAACCGAGCCTGATCTATATTGGGAGCATAAATATTCACCACTGTAAAAACAAAATTTTGGTATTTCAATTTAAGAAAGAGGTAGTGACCAGTTGGATCGATTAGGGAGTCCAAGGCCACCGAGACCCCCCTAGACCTAGCCTGCGGATTAGTACTATTATACCACTGAGTATAGTAACGGTTGTGGAGGGCTGGGATACCATCGGAGCGAAAAGGGGCTCCTGGAGTAACAAAATCTGCATTCATCTATGGAAATGGTAGAGCATCTGGCTCCGCCTCTCCGGAGTGTTAAAGCCCCTACAATTAGAGGAAAATTTAATTGGAGTCATAGTTGGTTGAGGGAGAACAAACATACAGTGTGACACTGCGTAATACACTGAAGGCCTAGGTGGGGAATGTCAAAGGGGCATGTATCCGATCCCGACCCAGGCCTCCCACAGGCAAATGATAACTTGAGGGAGGTCACCCTCAGGTGAGGGCGACCCCCTCTACAAAACATTCAATAATTTCTCAAACAGGCATGAGAAAATAGGCCCCCACCCCCAACAAACATAAGCAGAGCATGGCAATGATGGGGTGAGGATGAAACAAATAAAGGAAGGGCCTATAGCCCCTGAGACTAGGGCCGAAGGCGTCCCTGTCCGTCACGGCAAATGGTGGTGGCGAATCCCAGGGACCAGCCGCAGGCCACAGCCCAAGAACCTAAAAAAAGACCAACAGGTACAAATATAAGGCACAGATCTAACAGAAGTAACCAACAGCATGTGCAAAACCTGTAGGAAGAGGAGGAAAAGGAAAAACCTCCCAATTCACGCTGATAGGGCGTCATCCCTCTGGGAACTTTTGGAAGGAAGATCTGGAACGCTTCTTCTTGCGATCAGACCGCTGCCAGGAAGAGGGGAATGGAAGGCCAGGGGTTGGTAGTTGAAAGGGCCAATCCGGGAGGGACACCTGAGGTAGCTCGAACACACCAAGAAATGTAGGTAAGTCCCCAAGGGTGCGGAATTGAGAAGATTTACTGTTTTGGGAGGCATGAAGTTGAAACGGGAACCGCCACTGGATAGCGGACATGCCTCTCCTGCAACATCTGAGTGAGGGCGCAGAGCCCTGCGCATAGCCAGAGTCTGGCGGGAAAGGTCAGGAAGGAGCATCACTGGCACTTCATTAAAGAGGATGGTGTCCTGCGTGCTAGCCACACGCATAATGGCGTCCTTGACCTTAAAGTAGTGGACCCTGCATAGGGTATCACTGACAAAAGATGGGTCAAGATTCCTGGGGCCCAGTGTGCAATGTACGCGGTCTAACTCAATATGGGTGTCTTTAGGTTGTTGGAGCAGTTGATTGAAGATGGCGGTAACTGCTGCGACCAAATCTTTAGGTTCAACGGATTCGAGTATACCCGATATGGATATTGTTACGGCGGTTCCTATTCTCAATGTCATCTTGTTGGTACATGAGCTGTTGTATAAGAACCGTATAGGAGTTCAGGGCTCTTCGTGGGTTTGTAAAGAGTTACACAGACCGTCAGCGGTATTTTCAATCTCTTCCATATGAACACAAATGTCTTAAGATCAGAAATTTCCTGCTTGTATGTGCTTTCAATAAGTTTCACATAAAGCTCAAAATCTGCATTTGTAGGAAGGGATTTCAGATAGGAGTGCAGGGATTTCATGTGGGACTGCAGATCCCAGACATCCTCAGAGCAGAGAGATGCTGGGGAGGGGCTGCGTGTTCTGTGTGCCCTGAGCCTGCAGATCAGGGTCCCCAGAAGGAGAGAGAGAGCCCCGATGGATCCCTGTATCCAAGGCCACGGATCGGGTCACGACCTGGCTCATGTCACCGCCGGACTGGCTTCCTGTTGCTCTCCGAGGGGTCCAGTGTTGATTCCTCCCCATGGGGATTATATGGCAGCGCCCGTGAAGGAGAGAGGGAGCCTGCAGCGGAGGTCCGGGAGCTGTGCAGTGTCACTGCTCTCGCTCCATGCGCCGAGCCACGCCTCCTTTTGCGGCAGATTTAATTTAAATCGGATAGGGATCATTTCCCCCAATGTCTGCTTTAGGGTCAATATAGATCTATACTTGTGTGTTGACATGCATTTTTTTAATTTAGAATTTGAAGCATATAGGGTTAACCATTAAATGCCCCTTTATACCTGTTGCCAACACATTGACATGCACGTTATAAGCATTTTTATGCGTTGCCATTGACTTATGGGCCTCAACACACTAAAGAAATAATTTAAAAAAAAGTGACAAACACGTCATTTTACAAAAAAAAAAAAAAAATGCAGTGCTGGGATGGAATAGGAATAAAGTATTTGTGTCACTTTCCTGGCAGTATGACTCTTCTTAAAGTCCTGGAGCACATTCACAAAAGTTCTGCTGCCAGTTCAGTAGCTTTACCAAAGCGCTGAACAGATTCAGGGAGTTCTTAATAGCAATACTTCACAAAGTAGAACAATGGATGCACCAAATTCAAAAAGAATTACCTCCAGTTTGTAGATAAAATTAGAGGCAATTAAGACCAACTAAAAAACTTTGCATACAGAGACAGGCAGCAGGCCTGTCTCTGTACGCCGCTTAACAGGGTGGCCTCCCCTCACTGGCAGTCAAAGACTGTGTATAATCTAAGTGTTGGGAGTGTGCAAAAGACCTGTCAGCTCAGCACACTGGGGGAAAAAGGGAAGGGGGGGGGGAATGAGACATGGGAAGGTTTGTCCAATCTGCCAAAGCAGCTGGATGATTTGGTAGCCGTCACCAATACATGAGACCGCCATCAAAAACTAGATGCACCCCTCCCCCCAAGCTTATTGATCCAACATTTTTGCTGCCTCTGCTCAAAGAGGTGGCCATCCTGGGAAATGCACACTTGTAAGGATCCCCTAATCACCCAACACTGAAGTTCTATGAGCATCTACTGAAAGGAGTTGGCTACAGTATTTCCATGTTGGTTAACTGACCTTCAGTCCCTGAGCTGACAGCAGATAAATGCAGTCTTTGATAGATAACATATCCACATAACTAAAGCCAAACAATGTTGCAACATCAAAAATATTTGCAGTGGAACAGATTTTAGACAACATACAATGCCTCTTAGTTCCCATTCACAATATACAGTATATGTATTGAGCAATCCTTTTTCCATGCGGTTGAGATGCATTTTTACAGCCCCACAACCCCTCTCCTTCATGTTGCAGGCAAAAGAAATGTTCTGTGAAAAGCTGGTCAAACGGCAAAACAAATGTAAACAGAGTCCTATGACAGCACACTGGGGGTCATGGGACCTTACACTACACCAGCACCTTACTAATGGGCTACTTCATATGTGCAAGAACTATTGCATCTCATTTGAAGAGCTCTAGAGTTCAGATAACAGGAGCCTTCCGTTTAAGCTGAAGTTTTTCAGGAATTGGAAGTCATTGAACACTCACCGTGCTATCCAATCAGGCGTGTGATCTTCTTCCAGGGGAGGTGTGAAGGCCAGAAGCTGAGTGATGAGCTCACTATCAGAACTTGTCGACAGGCCGATACCATGTCGCATCAACTATTAAAAAGGAGGGTACAGGTTAAAAAAAGGGGCTCCCCACACAGAGCTAAAATATTACTGAGGTCCGTACACCATGAATGAGCCATTTATGTACACTAACTGGCCACTTATAAGGTATTGGGTTCAATTGCTTGGTAACTCAAATTGCTAATCTGCCAATCACATGGCAGCAACCCATAGCATTTAGGCATCTAGACATGGTGAAGATGACTTGCTGAAGTTCAAACCGAGCATCACAAATGGGGAAGAAAGGGGATTTAAGTGACATGAACACATGGCATGGCTGTTGGTGCTAGACGGGCTGGTCTGTGTATTTCAAAAACTGCTGACCTGCTGGGATTTTCACACACAACCATCTCTAGGGTCTAGAGAAAAAAAACTGCTGCTCACTGGATATTTTTTTATTGCAGGTCAGGAGAATGGGCATTTGATTTCAGCTGCGACATTTAGATGGTAGGGTCAGAATTTGACAAACATGAAAGCATGGCTCTATCCTGCCTTGTATCAATGGTTCAGGCTGGTAGTGTAATGGTGTGGGGGATATTTTCTTGGCACTAGCAAGGTGTACCTAATAAAGCGGCTGGTGAGTGTATATCGAGCCACCATGTGCTGTGTGCACAAAGTCACTTGCCCCCATTTGACAGGCATGCAGGTGAGCAGCCCAGTATGCATACAGCATGCCACACTGTTGGCAACAGACACCCTGCTATTTCCTTGGCAGAAATTACAGCCCAATATAGTCACCTACAGTCTTCTTACACTTTCCTAAAACAAGCTTTTTCAAGCTCCCCTCCTTTATTTTTACCTGGTAAGTCTGCAAACACTTGCTTGTCTCTGGGTGGCTACACTCACTCCTGCACCTTCTATGGAAGGAAGCATTGCTGTCACAGACGTCAACCATGTCTACCTTCGTTCATATCCAGTACATGCTGGATTGATGGGACTGGTAGCTTTAGGGGGAAAAAAAAAACAAAAAACAAAAACCCCACAACAACACACTAGAAATGTCACCCACCCATTTCACCCTTGTCTTGTTTCATTAACCACTTGCCTACCGGGCACTTATACCCCCTTCTTTACAGGGCCAATTTTCAGCTTTCAGCGCTGTTGCATTTTGAATGAGAATTGTGCGGTCATGCAAGATTGTACCCATATGAAATTTTTAGCATTTTTTTTCTCACAAACAGTGCTTTCTTTTGGTGGTATTTAAACGCCACTGGGCGCTTCACTTTTTTGTGCTATAAACAAAACATGTGCAAACAATTAAAAAAAAAAAAAAAAAAAAAAAAGTTTGTTTCTATTATAAAATTTTTCAAACAGGTAATTTTTCTCCTTCACTGATGTGCGTTGATGAGGCAGCACTGATGGGCAGCACTGATGATGGGTACTGATGGGGGGCACTGACTGGCGCAACCACTGGGCACTGACTGGCGCAACCACTGGGCACTGACTGGCGCAACCACTGGGCACAGGTAGGTGGCACTCCTGGGCACCGATCAGTGCTTTGATGATCGGCGCCGATTCCTGCTCTGACAACTGCCGGTTCTTGGCAGTACTTTCCTCACACTCTGACAGCGCAAGGAAAGTGCAGCCGAGAACCAGCAATTGCATTTCCCGGTGATCAGCGTGTCATTGGACACGGCTGATCACGTGGTAAAAGGCCGCTGTGATTGGCCTTTTACCACATCACGTGATCAGCTGTGTCCGTAGGACACAGCTATCACAGAGATAACCGAGTGTGCGCCCCCAGGGGCGAGCAGGAGAGAGCGCGTTCTGGGAGGACGTCATGACGCCCTCCCAGAATTGGCTGGCCGCAGTTGCTTCATTTTAACTACTTGAGGTTGGCAAGTAGTTAAAATGAAAAAAAAATGGGAATTTACCACCAGAGAATCTGGAACAGCTGGTTATGGCAACCAGCTTCCATCTTTTAAAGCTAAGCTGAACAAGCCATGCAGAGCTACTGCAGATTCTTTCTGCTCCAGTGTTAGAAATCCCCGCTCCCCCCCGTATTCAACCTCTTGCTGATTGCATATATGCAGCAGCAAGAAAGCTGGGCTTGAACTCCCAGGCACTGCGCATGTATGCACAGCAGCAGGAAGTTGTGTGCAGGACGTGTGCTCCTAGCGTGTCACCAACTGCTCAGTCAAGGCTTCTGATTGGTAGGCATAAGGACAGGCTCCTGATTATGTAAGCACTGTAGAGATGCAGTCAAAGCAGTCACATGATATAGAAGCCACAGCATTAAGAGGTTAAAGTGTTACTAAACCCAGGACCCTGCATTCACTATATCTGGTCTCCCACAGTACACACAACATGGAAGTGCAATTATTTTAGTAAATATAAACTGCTAAATACAGTTTCACATCAGCAGTTAGAGCAGTCTTGTGACTTCAGCAGAGCTCTGGTTAAAGCTTTTAGGAGTTTTATTTCTGTTCTAGGAGGATGCAAAACCCCTGACCTCTGTCTAGACCAGTGGTTCTTAACCTGGGTTCGATCGAACCCCAGGGGTTCGGTGAGTCAGTCTCGCGGGTTCGGTGGAGGTGAAGACCCACACCCGACTCATATGATTCGTGCAGTAAATATTCATTATTCTGTTTTTTTTGTGTGAAAATCATGTTTTTAATGGTTTTGTTCTTTGTTCTTAACGGTTTTGTTCATTTTGTGCACCTATGTATAAATATATACCTATGTTTTGAATTTTAAAAATCATATTTTATTTTTCCAATTAAGAAGGGTTCGGTGAATGCGCATATGAAACTGGTGGAGTTCAGTACCTCCAACAAGGTTAAGAACCACTGGTCTAGACAGTGCAGATTACATGCACTCCAAGGAGAAAAAAGAAAAAAAAAAAAAGAACAAAAAAAAACTAACAATACACACTAAACTGTGCATGTGGCTACGGTTTCAGTCTGTCTTATCAGGTGGAAATTTCAACAAGAGGAGCAGAGAAAACAGGATCAAACTGCCTTTTTAACAACTAGCCTACAGGGCACTTATACCCCTTCCTGCCCAGGCCAATTTCCAGCTTTCAGCGCTGTCACACTTTGAATGACAATTGCGCGGTCATGCAACACTGTACTCATTAGAAATATGTATCTTTTTGTGTGACAGATAGAGCTTTATTTTGGTGGTATTTAATCACCTCTGGGTTTTTTATTTTTTCTTAAACCAAAAACCACTAAAAATTTTTGAAAAAAAAAAAAAAACAAAAAAAAAACACATTTTAGTTTTTGTTATAAAATTTTGTAAATAAGGTATTTTTCTCCTTCACTGATGTGCACTAATGAGGCTGCAGTGATGGGCACTGATGGACACTGACAGGTGTCACTGATTGGCATGCATCACTGATGGGCACTGAAAGGCAGCACTCATTGCACTGATAGGCGGCACTGATGGGTGGCACTGACTGGCACTGAAAGGCAGCTCAGATGGGCACTGATGTGTGGCATTGATGGGCAATGGCAGTGGCATGGATGAGCACTGACAGATGGCACTGACAGGTGGCACTGCTTGGGCTACACAGATCATCAGGGCACACTGATCATCAGTTCCCTGATGATCAGTGTACATGTTCCCTCTGAAGGATGCCGATTACCGGCTCTCCTCTCAAGCTGTCAGCATGACAGCTTGTGGGGGAGAAATGACGATAACCGGCATTTCCCTATTTACATGCAGATGCGATCAGCTGTGATTGGACACAGTTTATCACATGACCGAGCCGACATCTTGGCTCTTTCCATCGATCGGTGATCCGCTGTCCAAGGGACAGCGCACCACCGATTGCCGCGCAGTGCGCTCCCAGAGCCGCGCATGCTTGGTTAGAATGGGAGGACGTCATATGACGTCCTCCCAGAACGAGAGAACCACCTTGTGCCCATCATTGTACTATATGGCGGGCGGAAGGCGGTTAAAAATACAGAGGATTAACCCCTTAGGTTCCATAGTGAGTAAAACAAGCATGCTTTACTGCATATAGAGTAATTTTACTGTTGTGGTTTCAGTAACACCAAGTCAGAAATAGAAGGGCCTGATAACTACCTGAAAGCTAAAGCAGTTTAGCACATTGCATAGCTTTTTTTTGTTTTGATTTTTTTAAGGCTCCATGCACACGGGGCGTTTTCATAACATTGGCAGCGTTAGCTGTGTAAAGTCGCAGTAAAAATGTGAGTTTCAGAATTTTTGCATTAGCGTTTAGCCACAGGGTTTTTTTTTCTGCTCAAAAAATGCCCCAAAAACATTCGCTGCATTTTACTGCTTTTTTCAGTGTTAAAGTGTTTTTACAGCTAAAAAACTCCTCTCGAAACCCTAGTTCTGGGGGGGGGTGTGGTTTTCAGCTAAAAAAAAAAAGCTGATTAAAGCCTATGTGTGCATGGACACATAGGATAACACGCTGGGGAGTTTACTGGCTGTAGAAAAGAAAAAAAACAACAAAAGCCAAAAACAGCAGCTGTAAAAATGTCCAGTGTGCATGAGGACCAAATGTTTTTGAAGTAGAATTTACACTTCATTTCTCTGCACCTCAGTGATGTGCAAAAAAGATAAATAAAATGTTAACGTAGCTCCCATCACTTCAGTATTGGCGATTGTCCATTGTTGTGAAGACTGCTGTTGATCAGGTGCAGAAAACTGCCAGTTGCTGCACACACTGACCTGGCTCTTATGGCTTTTTTCCCCTTTAGGTGATAAGCTACCCGAGGTTACTAGGAAGATGTGGCTGCTGCAAAGCAGAGCCTCAGCTGAGCGGTGGATTGGCTTTGTTGCAGTAAACCCTTATGGGGTAATGGCACCCAATTTGTGGGTTTTAAGTCGGCATCTTGACATTCATCTCCAGTTAAATAAATTTATTGGATGGGGGTCCATTCCCCATCCGCTTAGCAGATCGGATGACAGCTGGACATAAACTGACAGTCTGTTTACATCCAGCTTGCCCATAGAGAACGGGCTGTGTCCGTGCCTGCTCCGCACAAGCACAGCAGAACAGACCTGTCATCTACCTG